CCCTCAAGTAAGTTGCGCACGCGCCGCGCTTCAGTTGTAGGTAAATGCACAAGGTCTGCCTGCACATACGCACGAATGGGTGGTGGAGGGATATACCTATGAGGGGGGTTTGTGAATGCCCCGGCACTTCTACATCGGAGAGGAGTTAAAAACGAAACAGTGAAAACGCGTACATATGTGTAGCTTTGGGGGAAAGTACCTGGAGCTGACCTCAGAAGTTCGGACCCAATTATAATGCCGGGTTCTGCTGCCCACAAGATAAGGAATGCCTGCACGAAAGTAGTAAAAGTGTTATTTTTGTATTGGCTCGTTTTTATGAAGAAGCAGAAGGTCCCAAACGGGGTGCACTCGCTAGGGATGACAAGGAGAAGAAGTTGCATCCAGATAGGGCATCCCTCCAGTGGGGGGAATTATATCTCCCCATGTGCATCCACGGATTGTTCCTCACATCGAAGGACACCTTTTAATTGTCTTTATCGGGACTTCTCTAAAGCGAGGCAACACAATCCCATGCGATGCCCCATCTCTGTCCATCCAGTTAAGAAGCTAAAGCTAATGCGTGAAAAGGACCCCAAATCAGCCGCGTGTAATTTTTACATTCATAATTTTCAGTATCGGGAAAAAGAAATTAAAAAAATATGCCCCCTAGGGACAGAGTCAAGATGGAAAAGCAAAAGTTGCATGAATAGGTCACGCAAAGTACACATGGTTGGGAAGGATGACGAAAAGATGTTTAACCGGATAAACAGCAATATGATGAGGGCATTGGGGGAGGAGGGACCCATGAACGGCGACGTCTACAGCAACGTCTACAGCAGGAGTGACACCATGTGGGGAGAGAACCACGAACGAAATGGCCTCCTGGAAATTGTAAATAACCAGACGGAAGTACCCATCGACCTCGCCCATTTCGAGAAAGAAGTGAGGAAACTTGTCCACGTAATGCGCTTTGAAGATTTTCAACTGAACATAACGTTTGTGAGTTTAGACGAGATGAAGGAGATGAACAGGACTCACAGGGGAAAGAATGAGCCGACTGATGTCATTTCTCTGTTGCACTATGTGCAAAGTGGGGAAGGCATTTCTCCTAGCTCTGAATTTGCAGGTGGCGACATACCTAGCGGGAGCTGTCTCAGGTCAGGAGACATTTACTTGTGCCCCGCGTACATAAGCAGGGAGTGTGTGCTGGCCCGGGTTAGGTACGAGCAGGGATTGCTGCGCGAGAGAAGCGGCGAGAGTGCCGATGTTGGAGAAATTGGCGAAGTTAGCGGTGTTGACGGTCCACGCGGCGGGAGTGATCATGTTAGCGGTGCGTCCACACTGGACAACCGCGACGATGAGCAAAGCGACCAGGAGGAGCTTCCCCCCCGAGGTGTGAACAAGCTGTTTAGAACCCTCTTCTGCCCCAACCAGCGGCTGCCGTTGTACGTTCTACACGGATTAATACACTTAACGAAGAAGGATCATGTGAACAATGCAAAGGAGTACCACAGATTTATGGACATAGAGGAAGACACGATCGGTAAGTATCTTAAGTTCCATCATTATACACACACATATTACTCTCACTACGTTATTGGACTTGGTACGGACATTCTGAATGTGAACAGGATTTACAAAATTTTGCAAAAGAAAAATGGGGCGTTTTTTCTGCGGAAGGTTCTGAGCTCTCTTGAGCTGCGGGAGTTGATTCAGGGGCATCTCATGGAAGCGGTGGAGAGTGACCAACTGGGGGACCATCTGTTTGACCAATTGGGTAAGGGGAACGACAAAGCGGATCGCGGTGGGGACTGCGGTGAGGACTGTCGTGAGAACTCCCAGCCGAGGCTCAGCACAAATTCCGCATTGAAGCTGGCCATCCACGTAAGCAAAAAATTCGCATCCAAAGAAGCGATCCTCAAGTCCATGGGGCGCGGTTTAAGTTCCATTTCCAAATACGGCCTAAGCATGAACGACATAGAAGTAAGAAACGACAAGTATGGAAAGCCCCTGGTTTTTTTGTATAACCAGGCAATGAAAATAGCCAACGAACTGGGCATAGCAAATATTTTTTTATCTCTAAGTGATGAAAGGATAACCTGCACAAATCATAATGTTACAAAGGATGAGTCAACGACATGCAACCTTTGCACATACCTCATCCATGCACAGGCACTTTCGGTTGGGTCAAACGTGTGACGCGCTGGAACGGAATCGAGTGTGCGGCACAAAAAGGGAAGCGGCGTGTGGGTTGGAAGTGGCGCCCACGTGTGCATCCCCGGTTAGAGTTTTAACTTAAGTCACATTCGGTCACGTTAAAGATGCGGTCGCCGATTTTTATAAACATCTGCGTGCACCACGAATCGCTGGTTCTGCACAGGAGCCTGCACATACAGCACAGTGTGCACCACATGTGTTTGGTCACTGCGAGCAAGATGTAAACCTGCATCCTCGCAAATTGGGAAAGATTTCGTTCTTTTTTTTTTTCACGTCCGGTTTGCACAGAATGGTGTTGCAAACGGGGGAGAATAAGAACAGCTTTCTATAGTGCACCTTAAAGTACATGCTGAAGGACATGATAGAGAGTGTGGCAGAACAGATGGGTGAGTACCGTTACCAAATGGGTGTCCCCGGTTCGTTCATTTCGTTCATATGTGCCTATATGTACATATGTATATAATTTTTTTTCACCCTGTGTGGTGCGCTATTTAGGCAGTTTAAACAGAGGTTGGGGTGGCGCGGACGGGAGTTATGCCGGCTTGCCCAGAGGGCTGCGTGCGGAGGAGAGTACATTTGTAAAGGTGTACGCATGTATACCGGTATTGGCGCGTTCCCCCCCTTTGTTCTTTATCGCTAAGAAAAACAGAGGAAAATAAGCAGAAAAAGGCCACGGGAACAATATGCAGGAAGGGTCTGAAAGGAAGATTTGGCGAAAAAGAAGTGAACAGGTGAACACTGAAGCGTTGTCGTGGTGAAATGATAAGAAGTAGGTATAAAAAAAAAAATAAAATAAATAAAAAAAGGTACGCGATAGATAAGAGGAAAGGAAAGGTATACGGATTGACTGAGAAATAATTTTTTCTCGTCCTACATGCACAATATTGCTGATTATTACGTAAAGGCAAAAAATATGGTGTAAGCCGTACCTTGCAAGTTTCTTTTTTTTTTTTTATATACACCTATAGGGGTATAGGTGCACGTATATATATATGCCTACGTAGGTGTAACGCTCTCTAAGCAGTGTATTACAATGGTGCACCGCTTAATCAAGTGGTGGGGAAAAAGAAGGGCCTCATTGGCCTTCAAGGTGGGAGCTGTTCGGTGGTACATCGCGGGCGCCCCAGTGTTTCAAGCAGTACGAAGAGGAGCCTGGACGTTAGGATTTACATAGAGTACATATATCTATATGTGTATATACATCTATGCTGGCCCATAATGTACGCAGTCGCGCTCACGTTCTATTCGCCCCCTATACCAGGCGAAAAGAACAGAGTGTCACGGCTAAATAAAAAGTTAAAAAGCTGAGAAAAACGAAATGTGTCACAGAAAAAAAAAGGGGAAAAAAATTCGCGTTCATGTTTACGTAAGCAATTGAAGAAAAAAAAAAACAAAAAAAAAAATAACATCAAAATCAACAGCAACGAAAAAAGAAAAAGGTGAGAAAAAGAAAATAAACAACTAAACGAAATTGGAATTAGGGTGAAAAAAAGAACTCCCTATTTACATGACGAGCACATGTGCCGGCGGCCACTCATTTTATGTGAAGCGGAAACATGTACATATGTACGTTTATACACGTAAGAAAAAAAAAAAAAATTAACTTCTTAACTGAATAACCGATTAGCCGATTAACCAATTAACACCAATTAAACGATTAATTGATTCACCAATTGATTAAACACATTAACGAATCACATTGAAGGGTTCCTGTAACTAAAAAAAACAAACTTGATAAAAATGAAAAAAAAGAAAAAAACGTTAACGAGATCCAAGGCAATGTGACGCGACGTAACGTACTAATTTACGTACATTCGAGTGATGCCCACACGAGAGATAAACCCTTAACCGTAACACAAACGAAAAAAAAAAAGTACCAACGAAAGAAGCACAAATGTAAAACATATACGTTCAATATATATGTACATGTTAAATGTACACTGCGTACAAGTCAGAGTTAGAAACTTGTTAATTACTCCCATCGTTTCTTTCGTGAACAGAAAGGTGTAACTTCTACCCACAAGATACATCACATCTACAATTTTTTTTTTCTTGTATAGTTTAATATTTCGCCAAAGAAAAATGTTGAACTGAACAAGAAAAAAAAGTTGCAGAGATGTTTTGCTTTTTTTTTTTCACAAACCCTAATTTTGACCCTTGCGCAAAGCAAAGTCATGAATTCCTGTTTATCTAAATATTATAGATATATCTACGTGGGCTCGTAGAATTTCTACGTGTACCTGTGTACAACTCCCGTCCCCTCTTCCGTGCAAATGTGCCTTTATTTTATGTACTTCCTAATTAGTGTAAAGTTTCATCATCTCTATAGTGTAAAACTCTTTTAACCGTGTACCGTACCATAACGCCTGTACGGTTATTGTGTACTCCCGCGTGTACGCGCAGATACACGTACGTACATATAGGCGAACACAGTGTACCTGTAACTGGTTTGTACGTACAGTATATATCTGCATTTTTAACTTATGCATCTCTTTTGCGACGTACCTGATGGCCAACCTCTGCCTTCCTTGGACGCCCCCGCCCCGCTTTTAAAGTACTCCTTTTTGCGTATATTCAAGTCATGCCGTTTTCACGAATTAATTTTTTTTTTTAAACAACTCCCCCTCCCTTTAGTACCCCAATGCGTATATGGGCAAAGGGAGAGATATTTACATTTGTGCACATGTAATTGCGGCCAAAAAATGTTGTAAAAATCTGTTTCACCGCTCTGTCGCTTTATCACTTCGCCCTTTTGCCGCACGGCGCGTGCCGTTTTACGCAATTTTTTTTCATTCGTGCCCTCGAGAGAACAGAACATAAATTTTAATACATGAAGCCATTTGCGTACCCAGGGCTTGCGACAACTGACGCTTACATGGTACAATTTTTGCGCGAACGTTACATTACATGTACGTCCGCATATTCGTCATGTAGATATGTATACTTCCCTGTATATATATGCAATTTAATTTAACATAGCATAGCATGTCTTCTTTACAAAAAATTCACAGCAACAATTTAAATGCACTTCCATTTTTTTTTTTTTTTCTTAGCCTCTTTTACGTTCTTCCTCGTAAACTTGTTCAACGAATTAAAAATTATTTAAGGCAACATTGCCTCCCCCACATGAACCAGGCGACATATGTGTGTACATGTAAACATCTGTGTGTGGGCTCGCAGGTTTATGTGTTAGCACCTGCGTTTGTTCTGCAGTTTCATTTGTTGTGCAGTTGTATTTGCTCAGCATTTGCCTCTGCATTTATATGTACGTGTACACGTACGTGTTAACGTGTTATCGCTAACGCGCGTGCTCGCACATGCTTATGTGTATACACGCTGGTACCTCTGTATTCAACTCCATGCATTCAAAAGTTAAGCGGCTTTGCAAGTGTTCTTCATGACAGCACAAGAACGACAACTTATATTCGTGTTTACACGATAGTGAGCCGCATACATAAACGCATGCACAACATATATAGTCTTTTCAATTCCTTCTTTTTTTCACACATTTAAAGTTTTTAAATTTT